TGTGGCTCTTGCTGGGCTCTGCAGCCACTTCTCTTGCCTTCCTCCCTGCTCTCTTCTTCCATTTGGAAGGCATTTCTTGTTTCTTTTTGCCTTAACCCATTGCCTTGAGTCGATTCCGACTCATTGCAACCCCATGTGTTACAGAGTAGAACTGCTCCATAGGGTTAGCTTGGCTGTAATCTTAACAGAAGCAGACTGCTAGGACTTTCTTCCACAGAGATGCTGGGTGAGTTTGAACTGCCAACTTTTAGGATGGCAGCCAACCACAAACAGCTTGTGCCATCCAGGCTCCTTCTTCTTGTCTTTCTATCCCATCTGCATAAAAAGCCCATTTTCCCCATTTATTAGCCCCAGTGATTCATCCTCACCCTTGCAGCTCAGCTTAGATGTCATATGCATTCGGAAGCTCCACTTTCCTCCACCAGTTCTGGATTAGGCTCCCTTCCTGCACACTCAGTACAGAACTGAGCCGTAGTACTTACAGCCCAAGTATGAGGACTGCGTCTGGTTCTGTGTTACACAGTCCCACCTGGCATAGTGCCTGAAATACAGTGGCCCCTTGATAAATATTTGTAGAATGAAAGAATGACTGGATGGTCATTTGGGATCCTGAACAGATGTAAGAAAGAATGTAGTGGCTCTCAAGCCACTGTCTAAAGGGCAACACTCTCCCCACCATTTAATTCACATGAGTGGGGCAGAGACATTAGCCTACTGGGAGTTCTGGGAGCCCTCTCTTTGGAGGTGCTGCTGGGTTTCTTATTACTTCACCTTTAAAATGAACCCATAGGGGCTCTGCGCTGGAAAAATGATTAGAGATTATGAAGTCCAACCCCCTCATTTTAAAGAAAGGGAAATTGAAGCCTGGTGGAAGGAAGGACCTTAATTATCATGCCATTTTTGTTAGAGTCCACACTGGAACGCAGCCCTCTTGGCTTCTCCCTGAAGAGAGTTAATACTTCCTCCGTCGTAGAGGTAACACCGCATGGAGGCTGAGAGTGTGGTCTTTGGCCTGCTTTCTATGAATGTGGTACTGCCCTTTATCAAGTATGTGGTATAGGACAAGTTATTTACCCTCTCTGTGCCATGATTTCTTCAACCTTCATGTGGGGATAAAGACAGTATCTACTTCATAGAGTTGCTGGGAGGACTAAATGAATATAAAAGGCTACATGAATATAAAACACAGTGCCTGGAAGGTAGTTAGCATCCCCGTTCCTGAGCATTTGCTATCTTCGCTATAAAGCACAGGAAAATATTTTGGTAAAGTGAATGACCAGTCAGAGTTAAATTTTGGAAGTGTGCCTGATTTGCACTTAGATTAACCAAACATATGAAAATCCAGAAGCTTAGTCATAGTGGCCACCCACTCCTTTATGTACATGCAGAAAACACTAGATTTTGTTAGGTTAATTCTGAGAAAAACAAATGGATAACCCTTTCCTGGTTCACCGATAACCAATGAAAACACTCAGAAATGATTTTTGCCAAGGATTTATTCATGGACATTTTGGAGCTCACTGTTCGCACACAAAGGTGGCGCAAATGATTTGTGCTCAGCTCCTAACATGAAGGTTGATAGTTGGAAGCCACCCAGTGGCTCTGAGGAAGAAAGGCTTGCCAATTTGCTCCCATAAAGATTACTGCTGAGAAAACCCTATGGAGCGGTTCTACTCTGTAATACATGGGGTCGCCACGAGTTGGAACTGACTCCATGGAAACAGGTTTGGTTTTGGTTTTGGTTTTCACACGGAGGGCAGGGAGGAAGGCATACCTGATAGATGTGGATTGTAAACATGGACACTTGAGTTGTGGTCACTTCCTATATCCAGAGGTTTCATCTCCACTACAGTCTCTTCAGAAGCATGTTTTACCCCTGCCACGTCTGCAAATTTATTCAGCTTCTACACTTCAACCAGCACTCCAGCCTCCTTACATTTCCTTCTTCTCCTAACGACCGAGAAGAACAAGAACAAGGAGGGGGAAGCAGTCAGAGACACTGGTCGACAGAGGTAATAGGTTTTCCAGACACTGCTTCAAATTCTTTTTTCAATCCCCACCTC